AGGTTGCTGTGAGCGTGATGCCATGGCACTCTACCCAGGGGGATAGCTTGAGGCTCCATCTCAAAAAAAAAAAAAAAAAGAAAGAAAATTACAGTTCAGGATAATCCCAAGAGTTCTAGTTTTCACCTTCAGTAGTTCTTTTCCCATTTAAGTCATTGAGGCATTTGAGTTGGTTGAGGAGAGAGCTGTTTTGATGCTCATTATAAAATGAATAACAGGATATGCAGGAGACTGCTTTCATTTTGTTTGAGTGTACAAATTCTGTTTTCTACTTGTGAAAGCATTGTTAGCTGTGTAAATAGAAAATTTGGAAAGCAGAGGAAAAGTGCAAAGTGCCTGCAATCTAAGGGAAATGTTTGCTCTCATAGCGTTTTTGCTTTTTAAAACACAAACAAACGCAACAGCAAATGTTCAAGAAGAGACTAACGTTAAACCACTGAAATCACACAAAACTGCATGTGAACAGACAATATGTTTGTGTCACCAAGGGGGCAAGTCGTTGGAAAATAAACACGTGACTGCCAGGCCCGGTGCATTTTAACATTTGGTTGTGGTTGGGTGTAAACATTATTTTATAAAAGTATGGAAACCTTTTCATTCTGGATATAACTTTTTCCTCTGTTATTTGATTTGAAACGTCACAGGCCATTTGGGGAATACATAGAGTGTATGTTAACATTTTTAAATTTTATTTAATTTTGGATATACACAAGAACATTTACAATTGGTACTTGTTCTGAATTTTTAGGGTTTCCTTTTGTTAAAACTATATTAATTGCCCTGAAAGATGCTTTAAATATCCCATACGTCCAGTTTTATGCTGATACTTATTCCTTGGGGAAAAAAATAGAAAAATGAAAAAGGGATGCAGTTGATTTTCCACAAAGTCAACTACTCATTTGGCATCAGGGTAGAAGGACTTTGAGGAGAGATTCGGCGATAGGAGAAAGTTTTCACAATGTCCGTCTAACGTGGCTTGCTGGCTTTACATCAGTAAATTCTGGCCAGAGGTATTTACAGAGTCAGGCTTTTTTTTTGCACATATTACATGTCTAGTGCCATGTTTTAGGTTCTTCATCATCGGTGGTGTAGCTGTCCTTAAGAGGAATCGCTTTCTCACCAGTTAGTCTTCTAGCAAAGAATTTTAAATGATCAAGTAAAAGTTTTGTTAACACATGTTGTAAACCTAAGTCTGAAAGAGGAGGAATTTATCAAATAAAATAGAAAAAGTGTAAACTGTCTCGAGAATAGATGACAAGAATATTCTACACTACTTGTTAACTTTCAAAGTCGGAGCAGTTCTTTTACAAAACTCCCCTTCCTGGCATCCGTCTTCTGCTCAGAAGTCACCTAGGGCCAAAGGCGTTAACTTAACAAGCATCTTCATCACTTACTTTATACCAGCAAATGTTCCAGATAGTTGGCATTTACGTCCATTCTGTTGCAAAATTCATATTCTTCTATAGTCTTATTATCATAACATTTTTCTCTAAGCATAATAATGTAGTTATTTATAAATAATTGAAGATATTCCCACTTGACATGCAATATAATTGATTCATATATTAAAGCCTTTTTCTGTTTTAAGGAGATATTTTATCTCGTTAACTGCAGTGAAAAAGATATTTCTAATGTCTACAGGGCATGTATTTAAGTGTAATGTTACTTACACATTTCAGTATATTCATAAATGCAGAAAAGTAACATCCATGGTTATTGCAATTTCAGATGTTCAACTCTTAAATATACCAGAGAGCTGAATGTTCTTAGTTTATGGGTTTGTTTTTTGTTTTTTTTTTTTAATACTTCACTTGTTCCTAGTCTTTTAGACATTTCACTATTTGAAATGAAAATAAAGAAGTTAGCCAGTTTTGTTATTTGTAAAGCAACCTTGCTACAGATTTTGTGGAATCTAAACTTCTTACCTAAATTACCTGGGGGTTTATTTCATGTATTCATACTGTGCCCATTTAGAGTAAGATTTTCTATCCCTTATACCGTGCTCAATTTTATAAAGTAAGTGTTTTTTCTTGAAATATTTTAAAACGGTGACGTTTTCAATACACACTGTATTGTTGAACATACATATTTATATGCCTAACCCTTTAAACAGTATAAAAATACCTGAAATGTTATTTTTTGTGTACTATCTTGTGTTTTGCCAGTTGCAAGGTGGTTAGAATGATTTAACTATTTTAGTACAGAGATTCCTAGCAAATAAAATGTTTGCTTAAACTGTGAAGACACAGAGGTGATGGCTAAGAAATGATTTCTGGTTAAAAGCTGATACTTTAGAAAACACTTGGAAATCTACACCCAATCTAGTGTAATTTTCTTTTTTTTTGAGACAGAGTTTCACTTTATCGCCCTCCGTAGAGTGCAATGGCATCACAGCTCACAGCAACCTCCAACTCTTGGGTTTAGGCGATTCTCTTGACTTAACCTCCCAAGTAGCTAGGACTACAGGCGCCTGCCATAACGTCTGGCTGTATTTTGTTGCAGTTGTCACTGTTGTTTTAGCTGGCCAGGGCTGGGTTTGAACCCACCACCCTCAGTATATGGGGCCAGCACCCTACCCACTGAGCCACAGATGCCACCCTGGTATAATTTTCAATACCAGAAACAATTAAATAAAAGCTATGTGTTTAAAAAACTGAATATTTTTTTGGATAATGTGATTTATGTTTCATTTATATTCTGACTAATCTGAAGGTATTTGTTTTCAATTAAAAATTAAATTTAAAAAGTATAATCAAGAAAAATTAAACTTTTAGGCCAGGCTCAATGGCTCACACCTATAATTAAAGCACTCTAGGAGGCTGAGGATCCTTTGAGCTCAGGAGTTCAAGACCAGCCTGAGTGGGAACGAGACCCTGTCTCTACTAAAAAAAATAGAGAAATTAGCTGGGCATTGTGGCAGGTACCTGTATGTGTCCCATGTACTTGGGAGGCTAAGGCAAGAGGATCACTTGAGCCTAGGAGTTTAAGGTTGCTGTGAGCTAGGCTGAGGCCCTGGCACTCTAGCCTAGGTGACAGAGGGAGACTTTGTCTCAAAAATAAAAGCTAAGATTAGCTTTTTTATTATATTTTGTGGAATTATGTTGCTTATAAATATTTCCATTCACTATAGTCACTCATACTTGCAAAACAGCATAAACCGTAAAACCATTGCTATGTCTGGAAAAACAGGGAACTCTTTAGGAGCTAGCCTGACTGAGCAGCTTACCATAGTAAGAAAGCAAGTTGTTTACTTTGCCCTTAGGAAATCATATTTGCTGTTAAGGTTCGTTGTCTTTGACTGGCTCAAAAAATACTGTTTTGAGAGTCAAGATGGGAATAGAGCTTATAATTTTATGACTTTTAGAGTCAGTCCTTTGGGAAATTTCAGAGGTATAGTAGAAGTGGTTTCCTTTCCAGTCTTGGATTTTTATCTGGTCTCTGGAGACTCCTTAGCTGTCAAGTTGGTTTCAAGACCTCTTGAGTAGCAGTTTTGGTCGGTCACTGTTAAAGGTAGATACTAGATAAAATACATAACAACAACAGGAAGTAGAAAGTATGAGGAAGGTACACTTAGTGTTCCCCACCAACTTATTGAAAAAATGTTTTTTGCTTAAAGAAAAAAAAAAAGCAAAGTCACCTTATTAGCTAACCTTCATGAACCTTTGTCTTGGTCCTTTCGTGCTTGACCACAAATTTCTTTATGATCAATTTTTGCTGAAATAATACGTATTAGTCAAATAACAGTATTATACTCAAGAACATTGTACACATTTATTACTCTTTTACTTGGTGTGCTTATCAGTAGAAGGAAATAAAACATGCCTCTCAGTAACTGAGTTAGTCCCTGCAGGTCAGATACTGATAAATTTGTGTCCTGAGCTCTTTTTCGTTTTTAGAACACACAGATTTGTTGTGTTTTCATGGATGTAATTAACCTCTCTTCTGTGCTTAAAAAATACACAACCAGTTTTAGAAAGCTCATATGTCATTGAGTCAGCATGAATCTATCACCCCTTCTGAAAAGAATTGCTACTCAGAATACATATCCCACAAAATAATAGAATAGCATCTTTGTATGTGAAAGCAAATATTAAAAAAAAATTAGCAGTTTGCTGAATGGTAATTGAGAAATTTAGCTCATGAGTTTATAAACCTGACGCTATATGTCAGAATCATCCCAGACACTCTGATTCAAAAGTCTAAGAATAGGGGCCATCCTAGGATAATTTTGATACAGCAAATCAAATGGTATGAAATGACTTTTTTAATTGACTGTTAGAAGATTAAACACTAGGCAAAATAAAATCCTGGGTATTTTTATATAAGCCATGCTTATTATAATAATAAATGTCGGACCAGGTGTGGTGGCTCACACCTGTAATCCTAGCACTCTGAGAGGCTGAGGCAGATGGATTGCCTTAGCTCACAGGATTGAGACCAGCCTGAGCCCAGAGCAAGACCTCATCTCTAAAATAGCCAGGCATTGTGGCAGGTGCCTGTAGTCCCAGCTACTCCAGAGGCTGAGGCAAGAGAATTGCTTGAGCCCAGGAGTTTAAGGTTGCTGTGAGCTGTGATGCCATAGCACTCTACTGGGGGCGACAAAGTAAGACTGTATCTCCAACTAAATAAATAAATAAGTAAACAAAATAGTAAATGTCCACTCAAATCAAGTACTGTTTTGTTTTAAAAAAAAGTCATACAATAGGCTGAGTGTGATTTGCTCACACGTGTAATCCCAGCACTTGAAGCCATGAGTTTGAGACCAACCTGGACATCATAGCAATACCCTGTCTTTACAAAATATAAGAAAAATTAGCTGGGCATAGTGGCACACACCTGTAGTCCCAGCTACTTGGGAGGCTGAGAAGGGAGGATCACTTGAGCACAGGAGTTTGAGGATACAGAGAACTATGATTGTGCCATCGCACAATCTAAAAGCCTTGACGATAGAGTGAGAAAGACTTCATGTAAATAATTTGGAAAAGCCTTTTAAGTTTAGCATAATGGAATTTTTTTTTTTTTTGAGACATTCTCATTACATTGCCCTCAGTAGAGTACTGTGACATCACAGCTCACAGCAACTTCAAACTCTTGGGCTTAAGCGATTCTCTTGCCTCAGCTTCCCAAGTAGCTGAGACTACAAGTGCCTGCCACAATGCCCAGCTATTTTTTGTTGCAATTGTCATTGTTGTTTAGGTGGCCCAGACCAAATTTGAACCTGCCAGCCTTGGTGTATGTGGCTGGCACCATAACCACTGTGCTACGGCACCAAGCCTATTACAATGGAATTTTACCTGGAATTTGTTGGACCTTCATGAAATAACAGTACAGACATAAATCTATCGAACCAGAGGGTGTATCTATTAAATTTTGCTTCCTTTCTGTGTTGCTTTTTACCCTGTGAGCATTTCATAAGTTCAGTAATGAAGGCCATGGACAAGTTTGGAATCCAGTTTAATTACTAGGATGTGCTTATCTGAGAATAGCAAGAATTCAATTGTGGGTCCTGCCAATCTTTCCTTATCCTTCTACTCGTAGATACACTCCTGTTCTGCAGAAGCTTCTCTTAAAGCAATACTTGTTATCATAAGTGTTTATGTCCATTATGAAAGCCCTCTTAACTTTCCATCTTTGCGTATACACAGTTGCTTGTGTTTGTTATGCTTTTTGTTTAACCAGTAAATGCTAATGAGTTTTTACTTTTTAAAAGAGGCTAATTGACATAATATGTTCTTTGATTAGTATGAAGTACTCCTTTGTGTACAAGATCATGATGATCCAGCCATTGATGTATGTAAGAAGCTTCTTGGAAAATATCCAAATGTCGATGCTAGACTGTTTATAGGTAAGTACCAAATAAATCTGTGCTAACCAATTTGCTTTGATTATATTATCAGTAATCTCTGTATTAAACTATAGGTTAAGGTGTTAGCCATATTTGTTTCAAAGCATGTTGGTTGGAGTAGTGAAAGGTATTTACATCCTTTTGAGAAAAATTATAAAACAAAAGGTTTCTTTTTTCATACGTGAGATAATACAACGAAACAATGACCAATTACTCATCAATGAAATATAAGAGTCTCTTATTTATGTTTCATTAATATTTCCAATCCATGGCCTTTATCTGGATAATTGGGACTGAGCAATAGAATTTACTTCCATTATATTGGAAAAACCAATTACTCATTGATGAGATATAAGAGTCTCTTATTTATGTTTCATTAATATTTCCAGTCCATGGCCTTTATCTGGATAATTGGGACTGAGCAATAGAGTTTACTTCCATTATATTGGAAAAACCAATTACTCATTGATGAGATATAAGAGCCTCTTATTTATGTTTCATTAATATTTTCAATCCATGGCCTTTATCTAGATAATTGGGACTGAGCAATAGAATTTACTTCCATTATATTGAAAAAACGAATATTTATCCAAAAGCCTACAGGTTTATTCTAAAGGCTTGTAGAAGTGTATGTGCTGTTAAATTTATTTTTAACATAGGCCTGCTGTGATCTGTCTCAAAAATAAATAAAGTCAAATAACATGACATATTTGCTATTTGAAGCTAGGGCAGTGACTTTTATAATTCTGTATTAGCTTGAAATATACATTGGGGCTCGGCGCCTATAGCTCAACCGGCTAAGGCGCCAGCCACATACACCTAAGGTGGCGGGTTCAAATCCCCAGCTCGGACCCACCAAACAA